AATGAGTAGAATAATGAGTAGAATAATCAAATCCAAGGACCAGTGGTGGGTTTCAAAAAATTTTGGAACCTCTTCTGTAGGTGTGGCCTGCTTTCCGGGTCCACTGGTGGAACCTCTTCTAACCGGTTCGGTAGATTTGATGAACCGGTTCTACAGAATAGGTGTGAACTGGTAGGAACCCACCTCTGGTTTGCTTCCTACATTACAACGAGGAAATATTGACTGTTAGATAAAAGAAACATCTCAGTGTAGAATTTTACTTGAAAGAGAGGGAGAGAAAAGTTCCAGGAAAACACTTCTAGTTGTGCTTCAAACAATGCAAGATTTCTAAAATAGACTAAGCTCACCCATAGAGAGAAACACATATAACTGGATGTTGATTGTGAAGAGTTATAGTTAATTTTGCTGCATGTCCTCACAATTGGATTTTGCTGAAATTTCCTGTCATATTATCTCCATAATAAAAGCTGAACGAAGGCCCTGGGGTGAATGAGTCAGTTACAAACTGGGACGATGAAACAAAAAAGGCAATTATGTGATGATATGACTTTGGTTACATGTCATAAGTTCCAGGTTTTGCACTGTGATGTCATGCTATATGCTTGTCCTTTTCCCTACAAATGTCTATGCCAGGGAGCTATAGGTATAATATAGCTTTTAATTAATCAGCTCTTCTGACTGAGTCTTCCCAAGAGCATGAAACAAACTCCTTGTCCTGGCTTTTATTAATTTACAGTGAATTCTGCTCATTCACAGCTAGCAAAGTTTTTCAAAGGAGGATTTATGGTCACACACCTTATCTGGCTTCGAGAGACGACAGGCCAATATCTGCAGAACTTGGCAAGGAATATCGGAGAGTCACTAATTAGCAAACGAATGGTTTCCTGCAAACTCCACTTCCCTTTTGCTCCTCTTTTATTTCCTCTGGGAGGGGCCATTCATCATCCACCTGTGGCCTTACTCCCAAGTCGACCCCTGATCTTTAGTTGTTCCTTTCATCTGGCAATTCTGCGCATGCACACACTGGGAACCAGCTGTTTGTCTGCCTCACTGATGTCTGTGAGGGCAGCTGATAACTGGCATATGGCTCTGGCCCCCTTTCTGCCTCTGACACAGAGTCCTCATCAAAGCCTTCCCCAGACTCCAGGACTGGCCCATGTTCCTCCCCAACCTTCTCACTCCGAATCTGTTGCTGGTTTCGCTAGCCTCTGGTGGGCCACAACAATTTGGGGTTTTTTTCAGCCCTTGTTTTTTATTGGTATTTTTTATTTTAATGAATTGAACTAATTGTCTCCTGCAAACTCACCTCTCCTTTCGCTCCTCTTTATGGGAGGGACCATTCACCATCCACCTGTGGCTTTACTCCCGAGTCAACCCTTGTTCCTTAGCTGCTCCCTTCTCCTGGCAGCTCTATACATGCACACACTGGGAACAGGCTCCAGCTGTTCTTCTGCCCCACTGATGTCCGACTCCAAAGGCAGCTGATAACTAGCATACGGCTCTAGTCCCCTCTCTGCCTCCAACGCAGAGCCCTCATCAGAAACTTCCCCCGACTCCAGGACTGGCCCATGTTCCTCCCCAACCTCCTCGCTGTCCGAATCTGCTGCTAGCTCCGCTGGCTGCTGATGGGCCACAACATCAGCCACATGAGCATTCTCATGTTTATATTTTCTAACCAATATGCAGACATAAAACAATGGTTTTATTTATTAAAATCCTTGCATTGACTGATGTCTTGTCATTCTTGTGTCTGACAATCAGGCAGACAATTAAAAATGCCCACCTAACAAGTTATAAAATGTTTAAATGAAATAGTTGCAGTGCTGTCATTCTGAGCTAGGAACCTTAACCTGAATCTATATAACATGCAAGACATCATTCTTTTTTCAGACTAAACTCTGTTTAGTTTGTTGCCTTACTGATTTTCATGTCATTCCATTGTATTCAAGGCCACTGTAGGGGGAAACAAGAACAGCATCGTGCTTCAGAAACTGCAGCCTGAAACCCCTTACCGCATTACGGTTTCTTCGATTTACGCCGAAGGGGATGGAGGACAAATATCAGGAAAGGGCAAGACCAGTAAGTGAAACCCTTCTGAGCATTTTGTTTTTCACTGAAGCAGAATCACAAAAAGAGATTTTCAAATGATTTGGGGAAGTTGGCAGGTTTTTGGAGTTTATTATCATACGGCCCTTGGTCGTTTGTGTTTCTTTTAAAGCCACATTATCAACTTCTAAAAAAAAACATTTCTCTTTCCTTTGTTCTCTTGCTGTTTTTCACATCATTCCACTGTATTCAAGTCCACAGTAGGATTCAAATTAGGATTTACTTCGAGTCAGTACAGGTGGCTCTTGAATTACGGCCATAAATGGATCCTGCCCATTAGGGTCAGAAGTCACGACAAATGTTAAATGAACTGCCTCAAATACCAGCCATCCTTGGTCTCCCTACTGCATTTTTTAAATGAATGCATGGATCATAAAGTGGAGCCCAGGAGTGGGGGAGAGCCTGGAAAGGCTTAGTACAAGTACTAGCCCACCTCCTCAGGCCTCCCAAGGCTTCTCTCAACCCGAGATACCCCATGTTCTCCTTCCCACCCCTCTTGTGCCTCACATGTGTGCCCTTGCACAGCTGGCTCTCTTGGCACTGAGAAACAATGAGGAAGGAACATGCTAGGTGCACCCAGCCTAATTCTGCCACTGCCCTTCCTCCTGCCAAGGTGCCCTGCCTTTCTGAGGCAAAAAAAAGGACCGGTTTCCTAGCCTTTCAAAGCTTTCTGCCCCAACAGCTGGGAGGATGCAAACCTCCCCAGACTGTTGATAGGCTTTAGGAGGCCATCCTTAGCATGTAAAGGCAGCAGTTTCTGGAGGAGCCTTCCAAAATCTTTCCCTTGCTTAACCATCTCTCTTCCCCAGAAACCCACATTTCTTCAATAAACAAAACAGAAAAACTCTAGGAAGGACCCAATGGTGGGATTCAGCCGGTTCAGGCAAACCGGTTGTTAAATTGCTGGCTGGCCCCGCCCCTTCCAGGAATTCCCACATGCCCCGTTTGGGCTCCCAGAGAGACCTACTAGGCCCAAAATGGGACATGGAGGTGTGTGACCCCCCTACAGCCCGTTTTTGCTCCCAGGAGGCTGCAGAAGGCTGAATGCTACCTGTCACACCCCTGGCCATGCCTACCCAGCCAGGGCATTAGGGACCGGTTGTTAAATTATTTGAATCCCACCACTGGAGGGATCGCTTGTTTGATCTCCCCCTTCCCCCCCAATTAGGTGCTAAACCTAAATTCCCTGCCTTTGCTCTCTATCCCTTTTGAAAAACTTACCCTGACTCCAGGCAGATAAGTAGAAGAACTGAGCAAGCAAGGAGAGAAAATCTTTCAACAGCTTTTTCCCTCAAACTGCAAGAAAAACAATAACATCTCCAAAAGTTTAGCAGACTAGAGAGTTGCGCAACAAAATGGTGGATGCTGGGTCTTTGCAAAGCTTTTAAGGATTCGCCTTTAAGTCTTAGCTTGAGCCTTCAGTTAATAGAAGGACAGTAAATTAGATTTGCAAACATCCTGCATGAGGCTGAATTGTTTCGGCAGCTCCTCAAAGCACTGCAGCTGCTTTAACTTTGAAACAGGGTCATATGTAGTTTTGGAGTACCTGTAGTTACTTTGAACAGTTGTTAAATGACCTGTTGTTTCTTGACAACTACCTGTATTTAATACTTAGGTTTCCTTTCTATAGCTTTCATTTCTTTAAATGGTATGTAGGTGTGAGTGAGAAAGGGAGGCAGAAGCTAATGTAAGTTTATTTCTTCCAGAAGATTGTTTTATTGAATGATAAGTGCACAATTCTTGCACAGTTATTGTGTAGCATCCAGCTTTCTTTCCCCAAGATAGGGCTTCTGTTCTCTGGGTCCAAATCAATAAAACAAACCAGAGGTAGTGTTTTGTTTCACCTTGGAGCACTGAGAAATAACAAAAAAGCTGGATGGCTTTATCGCAATTATACATGGCCTTTTAATGAACTGTTCTCTTTCCCCCGCTTTCCATCCATTTCTGTCCACTGCAATTCATTTGTTTCCAGGCTCTGGACTTCTCTCTGGAATGCAGTTTGGAAAAATACCGCCTCAAATCTATGTAATCAGCAGAGTATTACCCCACCAAAAAAGGCTGTTGAAGCCATAATGATAAAGTCTACTTTCATTTCATTCTTTGGAAAAACACTTTTGTGTTGACATTCTACAGCTGGACCCTTAAAGGGTCATCATTAAATATTAACACACACATATTAAAGTTCCTGAAAATAGGATTCTTATGCCTCCCCATTTATTCCTTAAAAGTGTGCTCTTCATTAACTTTCACAACTATCTGGTTTCTCCAAATATTTGATTTGGATGAGAGAGGAAAATATATCAGAGTTAAATGTATTTAAACTCATTGCCCAAATGTGTTTTACTAGGAGAAACTACAGTGCAATTACTTACTGAATAGTGGCAATGGGTAGGTACATTTAACCCCACAAGGATGAGAATAGTAGTTTAATAACCATTATGTGATTGATGGTAGGGAAGCATCTTTATTGCTTTGGTTTTTATTTTGTCTTTCTTTCACAAAGCTTTCTGTTTCTGAACAGCCATGTAGCGAGATAGGTTAATCTGAACCAGCTTGATGAAAGATTATGTCATTCCATCTCTTCCTTTTGTCAGTGGAGAATGGGATTTCCCACCCACTGAGTTTAATGCCTTCAGGAACACAAGAGCTTAGTTATACCATCAATACTACAGCTGGATGGCTATTGAGTAGTGAAGTTCCTCAGCCCTCCTTAAGCTTCAGAAATAAAGTGGCAACAGCAGCAAAGCAATAGCGGAGTATTTTATTCCAAGAAGCAGTATTTTTCGCAGGTTTTCACATTTTCTTTAGATTAAAGAAAACTGTAAGTTTAGGTTGTCCATGCAATGCATTTAAGAATGAACAGTTGAAATGGACATGGCAGAGATTCAAGTGTCAGTTTTATGCCATCCGTGGTAACTCAGTGGCTAAGACACTGAGCTTATCAATCAGAAAGGTCAGCAGTTTGGCAGCTCGAATCTAGTGTTGCGTAACGGAGTGAGCTCCTGTTACTTGTCACAGCTTCCGCCAACCTAGCAGTTCGAAAGCGAATAAAAAATGCAAGTAGAAAAAATAGGAACTACCTTTAGTGCGAAGGTAACAGCATTCCGTGCACCTTCGGCTTTTAGTCATGCCAGCCACATGACCATGGAGACGTCTTCAGACAGCAGTGGCTCTTCGGCTTTGAAACGGAGACGAGCACCACCCCCTAGAGTCGAGAACAATTAGCATATATGTGCGAGGGGAACCTTTACCTTTCACAACTAGGACAGCACTTTGTTATATCAATTTATATAGCTACCCCTCCCCAACTTTAAGATGCTTCCCATTTAAGGTATACAACCTTGATATTAATGCATATCTAAATATTTAATCTTTCTTTCTTATATTTTTAAATCACTTCAGAACCTCTCAACCTTGTAAGGAATCTTAGAGTTTATGATCCAACCACTAGCACGTTAAATGTCCGATGGGATCATGCTGAAGGAAATCCCCGTCAGTACAAGGTGTATTATAAACCTGTGGCAGGCGGAACAGAGGAAATGGTAATTTGTTTTATATGCATATTTTGTACCTGGGTAGTTTCCGTCCAGACACTTGGAGGCTCTTCAGAATGATGTGACCCCGTTTAATTAGTGGTGAGAACTCACCACTGATAACAAATTCCTCCGGGATTTTAGATATGGATAAAATAAGAGAACTTTAATGAAAACGAAGGTCATCTTTTATGTTATTAGAAAAAGTAGTTTACGAACATCATGAAATTTCCAATTACATGCCCCGTTTTAAACTTTGACAGGTAACATTGCCTGGGAATACAAACTATGCTACTCTAAGGAATCTCCAGTCCGACACCCAGTACAAAGTAACCGTTGTCCCTGTTTACTCAGAAGGTGATGGAGGTCGGGCGTCTGATACGGGGAAAACACGTAAGTAGAACTGAGGATTGTCTATGGAGATTCTCGGTCATCCTGTTCATGGTTGTCCCAAAGGTGCTTTTTTTCAAGGGGCAACTGATTTTTCTTTGAAAACGTTTCTCTTCTCATCCAAGAAGCTTCTTCAGCTCTGACTGGATGGTGGAGAATTGAAGGATTATACTGCTTGCAGAGAGCTGGTCATTTGCATTCTTTTAGCGAGTCATTGAGGCCCCCTGGAGGTTCATCTGTGTCACCAGGGTAGTGCAAATGGGTGTTTAGCCTTCTTGGAACTGTTGAAAGGACTGTGTTATAGGCTAAGGGTAGAGGGGTGGGGGATACAACATCATCTATCTCCAATCTATAACACAATCCTTTCAACAGTTCCAAGAAGGCTCCACATCCATTTGCACTATTCAGGTGACCCCGATGACACAGGAAAAAAAAACCCAAGTGGCCTCAATAACTTGCTAAAGAGAATGCAAATGACCATGCAAGAAATAGAAATCCTTCCATTCCCCACCGTCCAGTCAGAGCTGAAGAAGCTTCTTGGATGAGAAGAGAAACGTTTTCAAAGAAAAATCAGTTGCCCCTTGAAAAAAAGC